AAAAAATAGGTCATTTTGCCCTGGTAGAAGTAGATATTCGTCAATCGTCAGTAGTTTCAATGTTAAGGATCATATTATTTTATAATATTCTAATACACGATCGTAGATATCCTGTTTCTACTTACTATGATTAAACCAGAAGTAGAAGCTCGTTCACAAGGTTCCATTTAACGAATCTATTACAGTTGTAAGAACGAATCATTAAGGCTCTATCAACCTGCTTATGGTAGTTTTCACTCGGCATACCCGAGGTGTATCGGGCTTCGATATCTCGAATGAGATCATTTACCCGAGTGAACGTACACGGGCGGAACGGCCGTAGGTGTGTACCGGTCGTTTTTTTTTCTTCCTTTCGAATGAGAAGCAAGTTGAGCGCTCTCTCTCTCTCTCCCTCTCTCTCTCCCTCTCTCTCTCCCTCTCTCTCCCTCTCTCTCCCTCTCTGATACAATAAATTATTATTTAAATTAATTGTTCAAACAGTTCCCCTGATATTTCGCGTTCCACGACAACGTCGGTCGTAATTTAATGAATCGCAGATCGAGACGATAAACTAAAGAGAGAAGGACGCTACGCATGAAGGAAGGAAGGAAGGAAAGAAAAGTTTTCGCGCGGCATTTCGAAGCCTACGCGAATGTTTCCGACGCACGTGGGATGCAGAGTTGTAAGCTGATGATGTAACCGCTAGCCGGCAACGGTTAGCATATAATTGCTGTTCATTGTACTTGCATTACTATGCTAATCAGAAGTTCAATGAATTTTAGTAAAATGTGAAAAACTAATAAACTGTATCACGAAATTCATAATTTACGTAAATAATTCTATTCCTCTCCTGGTAACTCCAAATTAATGATAGCCTTAAAATAAATGATAAAACAAATGCTATTCCGATTTTCTTCGTCCTTGGCCAAGATTTGTTAAAGAAAAACGAATATGCTCCCTTCGTAGGGAGGCTCGGTTTCGCTGCAGCGCGATGTCAGCCGAAGCCGCGTCTAAGCGACTCGCAGCGTCGTCGCGATATATTTACGCGAACGAGGAGACTTCGGTAGAACGGTGGCATCGGTCCAGCAGCCACGTTACGAAAATAGATTTCGGCTGGTGGCGATGCAACAAGCTCCTCCGTCGAGGAGACGAGGCGTCGAGGCGACCAGTACCGTGACGGCCAGTTCCCGAGGAAAACCGGAGAAATCGACTCCGCGAGGTCCCACATGAATGTGAGTGCGATCTTCCTTCCGTGAGCGCATTATCGGCGTTACGCTAGCTACCCCGCTATCACAGTGGCATAGTGCGTCCTTTGTTTCCCGCTCGCCGCGTCGATAACACGGTGCATCGGCCTGGAAGATGCCCGACCAGGCGGAAACGTTTCTCTTTCCCGGGATCCAACGATTCTCTTCGCTTTTACCTGAACCTGTGCCTGAAAAACTGCATGAAGGCGCAATCGCGCAGCTAGAACGCACAATGAGCAGCAGATGAGAACTAGCGTCTCGGCTTTGCTTCCGCTACGGAAGAGCGAGGACGCAGGATTGATGCGAATCGCGATGCACCGTGGCACCATCGTTGCGGAAGTTCCTGCCGGATTTCGCGTGCCGTTCCACGTTCCTTCCGGCGTGAACGAGGGATCGAGCCGCTCGCGGAGAAGACACGCGATGCGGGCTGCGCTTTGCACGCTCGGTGACATTATCGCAGTGAAAGCATCTAAAAAATTTTGTTTCCTGTGAGAATAACGGCGAACACGGAATCCTCCTGGTTCGCTGGAAGTAAAATCAGAGTTTTCGGGTTTTACGTGACACGTGTCAGTGACGGTGATCGATCGTGCTGGACGATCATCGGAAAAAATCGCTTAACGAGCCTTCAAATTTGTTTGCCCGTCGGAGGCCTGCTCGTTATCCAGGAAACGAACGCTAATAAAGCCGCGATGGGCTGGATTTACTATTACGTAGTTAGAAAAATGTTTTGAGAGGAAGCTTCTGGCTGCCAGAGTTTGGAATTGTTCCAACGGCCGCGGCGCGCTGCGGACTCTTGCAATTTTATCGAGAAATAGAGTTCTAACGCGACACGCTAGGTATTTGCTGTTTTACCGGATTCTATTCTCGAAACGAATTCGGTTCCCGATCATCGACAGGAAGTCGTTCGAAATTCATGCGTTCCCTCTATCTTTATTTTTACCCAACGAACGAAACAGATAAAACGCGTGTCTATGACGAGCGTACGGCGAGATTCTAAATTTACAGTTCTTGGGAATCGGCTGCTTTGTTGCTTTTTGTAGTTAGACGGGATAGCAGCAATAGGGAACAAAAGAGTTCGAAACGGCGGTACGGCGCGACGGGCAGCACAGGAAGAACAGGAGGGGTAGACGTTCTAAAGATACGTATAGCTCTAATTCGAGGATCTAATTCATGTCTATGGAACTCGTGGCTGGAATCGCGGAATAGTTCCCTTGCAATAATTAGAACGATCCTGAATTTTCAAATACAATTCCAAATTCAAGTAGAACGTCTGTAAAATGTATAAATGAGCTGAACACGCCTGACTTGTGCCGGATAGAGTTGGAGATATTTAATTCAGTTTCGATAGAATTTTCAATGAATGGAAGGCGACGATATTTACGTGGGCGTCTACGGGTGAAAAATATAGAACGTCGCGTGGCGTTCGGCTCGATTTTATTTCGAGACGCGGAACACGATTTTTCCCTAGCAGAAATAGCCTAGATTTTGGCCTCTTCCGACGGGGAAATCAACCGACACGTGACGTCACGCTTTCACGAGGAGTCCACTCGAGAAATCTCGATTGACCGTTCAATTTGGGTTTAAGAATCACTGCTCAAACACCCAGTAGTCCAAGGTGCGATGACATGGATTCGGGCTTGGCAGCCGAGCCGAAAGCCTTCGACGCTGCCAACGTGTCACCCCAATTCGAGATCGCGTACAAAAATGCAAATGTCTCGCGCATACATATAAACAATTGAAACGAGTCATCGTTGCGTCTCCGCAGACGTCGGCTAGCTTTACGCGTTTCGCAATTGTTTCGAGTACAAGCACAAAATTATTAAAAAGAAAGGGATTAGATCAGTGGTGGGCAAAGTACGGCCCGCGGGCCAATTTCGGCCCGCGAAATTATTTAATCCGGCCCGCCGAGGGCCCATCGACATGGCTAGTATATGGCCCGCTATAATTACGTTTTCACGGTCGAGAAGTATAAAGTGCACTTTTTCTATAATTCTGGCCCTCCTCTAGAATTTCTTAAACTTTGTGGCCCCCCATTAAAAAAGTTTGCCCACCACTGGATTAGATTGTACTATAATAACATTGTAGATGATAAATATTATTTTACAGAACCCGGGAGCTGAAAAATGGCGCCCGATGGCGATCTCGAACCCATCGACCCGGTTGCGCATGGCGAGGTCCATGCCCCACTGGGTGATGGTAAGTAAACGGACAATCCACTTTCGATCTGTCGACTACAAATGTTCCATTAACGAAAGGCGCAACAACAGAAGGAAGCGGAGCAGCAGAGTCAACGTAAACCACCGACCCCGCCGAAACTGCCGCCGCCGTCGCTCTCCGGAGACTGCGGCGACCCGGACTACGAGATCATCGAATTTCCGACCCGACCGCAAGCACAGAAGTCCTCGACACCGGTTACGAACGCGTACAAGTGCGCGCTATGCGGAACGGAGAACGTGTTCGCCCGTTGCGACACCTGCAACGGGAATTACTGCGAGGCCTGCGACGACATGAACCACAAGCACCCGAAGCGAAGGAACCACGTGCGGCGACGGATCCTGACGGATCTCGCTAGTAGGACGCGGCCGCCGTTGCCGCCCAAAGGGGAGAACCTGTCGAGCCCGCCGCCGATCCCGCCGCCGAGACGAAACCGAAAGAACACTCAGGTAGGATGCAACCTGGCCTGAGGCTTTCAACCCTTCCCGTGTACTTTCTTCCAGGCTGACGACGTCTTGTCGACCTTAGGTACACCCGAGCGTCCTGGAGGCGGTCCGGAATCTGTTCGGCTGCTCGCTACAGTCCATCGATCGGATCAACGGAAACCAAGTTGCGAGCTCGATTTTTTGACAATTCCCTGCTTTTCACTCCCTCCCGTTTCGCTTCGGTTTCTATCTTAATTATTAGCGATTCTCCCCAGCGATTTTGCTTGATCGCGTTTTGAACGCAACTTCGTCTCCGGTGACTCGAATCGAGATCCAATCAGACATTCGTCGTATAAGAAGTAAACTGTTGCTTGTTACTGGTTGTACCGTGCAGATTTCTAGTTGGTTTCCTGAAAGGGAGAACACGTCACACCGAGGCATAATTTGAAGATTGTTAACCCGCCGGCCATCGCCCCATACGAGCTTTAAATAGTCGTTTAAGTGTTATTTCGCTGAGATTTTATCTTGAGACTCTGTTATTGTATATTGACCTTGTTTCTTCTTAATACATCATGTTACCGCAAAAACACTGCCGCCGTATTCACTGAACCCATTTCACCACACACTGTCGATAAACTAACGGCGGGAAAACATGCTCAGATATAATAATTTGAGCAAGGCTTCATGCAAAGCTTTTCTGAAGTGAATATGGCAGAGCTTGGCAGACACGACGATTGGTTTCAGTTATCAGTTTCTCACTGTTTCCCGTACCGTTACTGGTACCATACACATTATTGCTATGCACCATTTATCAATTAACATGCGCATACATGTTTATTATTTTCAGCTTACAGCAGCGTCGCCTATTTTATTTTACTCCGTTTGCTAATGTAGAATTACTATTCCTCGTTTTATTTGTACTTCACTGTTATTTATGTTACCAGCTGCTCTTGATTTATCAGGAACATCAACGTTTCGTTTTGTACTAACGCTTTGTTTATCATCAATTTAGCCACGCACGTCGCCGCAATTTAATTTTAGCCGCAAGCCGAAAGCGCGCCATCCTTTTTTGTTTCAAATACTTTCCTCGCCATCGTCCAATAAAAAACAAAAATCAACAACAACCGGAATGCATTTCCATTCGTCGACAACGATTTCCGACGACCACGCATACCACGAACCGTGTAATAAAGTTCAGGTTTCGCGCTTAGGCTAAATCGACCCAAAGCCAGGGAACCACGAATCTCTCCTTGATCGAGAGAGTCGGCAGCTTGAAGCGCGCCCTCCCAAACACGACCAGGCCTCTGTCAGCTACCTTAGACACGAGAACCGTGTCGAAATCGATGCAATCAGTCAACACTACAGCCAACGATGGATCAGGATCAGGCACCGATAAAATGTCCACGCTTCAGGTAAGCCTCTACGATCCCTCAGTCAATACAGACAATGCAGTAGATGCTCGATCAGTAATTTGTCATAAACAAGCTTTCAGTGCCGTTTAATAATATGTATCGCTTGATAACTCGCAAAGTGATAATAATAATAATTTCATAATGGTAAATGATCCATTAGCAACCGCTTACCCGATAGAATAATACTCGTAACTTCGGTTTCCATTAAGTAGATACCTAATTCGATAATGCGATGGCGCAGATTCTTAATTAAATATCGATATCATTATCGTGCGGTCGACTTGATAATTCGATTAGGTTTTAATTATTCATTAGTAACCATGACTCGAATAATTAATATTTTCAATGTACACGTGTTACACGCTGTACGAGTGGCGATAGAGATACGTTCGATGAATGCGTAAAACGGCCTCGAGCGAGCATGAATTATTTAATGTGCGTGCGAATTGTTCAGGAGAGGTACAGGAAATATCAGGAAGCGATGAGGGCGCAGGACGCGAACAGAAGGAGGCATCCTCCGCCGTCGGACGTTCCAAGAGACGGCATGAACGTGAGGCCGCTCAGTATAGGCAGCCCGAAACTGGCACCACCGGTACCGCCGCCACCCCCACCCAGATCTATGATGCAATCGGCCAGCGTTTGCGATTTATCGTCACCGCAGATGTGGAATCCCGGAATGCACCAGGTGACTATCAATAAACGTGATTGAATAATCTGAAAATATCACTGCGCGTAGATTGTCATTGATAAGAGTGTAATAACTGTATCAATTTTCTTTTTCTCAAATTATTACTACTAAGATATAGTGAAATAATCATTGAGCATAACCATTCAACGTTATATATAAACGTTCTTTGCTACGTATAATAATAACGACGAAAATCGAGCTGGTAACATCTGGTGAACTATCCTGTATAGCTAATGGTTATTTCAAGACAATTGTTTACAGAAATAACGAGAATGTTAATACAAATTACTTTTATCGATGAATCTACTCGTATACTTAATCTGTGTTATTAATAAATTATTTTCCAGGCGCAATCGATGGCACATTTAGGACCCGGTGGCATGCCCATGATGTGGTACCCACCGAACCTTCCATGGGACATGACCATGGGTGGTTCAACGATGAGCCTGAACCATCCAGCGATGTGGGGCTATCCTATGGGATACCCTCCGTCGCAGATGCTCCCGCCGCACTATCCAGGGTCCTTATCGAGGCCCCACAGCCCAGCCAGGAGTGTGAAATCGAGCAGAAGATCTAGAGGCACCTCGCCGTCACCTAGTCTCAAGTCCAGAAAATCGTTGGCTAGTAGATCGCGATCGAGAAGATCCCAAGGATCACCGTCTGACGCCAGCTCCGAGGATTCCGGGGAATCGGACTTCGACGACAGGCTATCTCGTAGCTCTAGACGCGGCAGCATGTCCAGAAGCTCGAGGCAGAGAAACTACCACGAGGATGAGCCTCCCCGGACTTTGCTAACAAGAAATCGTCGCGAGTAAGTCAGGATTTCGACTAGTTAATATTACTATATAATTTTGTTCGACGTTGAATGAAATAATTTTTTACTTTTCCAGGAGACTGAGGTCGGAAGAGAGGATAATCAGCTCGGAGGATCAGTGGCCTGAGAGTCAGTCGGGCAAACGGTACTCGGGCAGAGGTTACGACGAATTCCAGAAGAACACACTGAATTCGCGACGGAGATACGAGCAAGACGAGCGCAGGCTGTCTAGGCTTGACTCGCGATTGGATCGCGTGCAGAACGGGAACTATCGTCGAAGACGAAGCACCGACGACGACGAGTCGGACAGAAGATCCACTTTACAGACCCGATCGAGGGTGACCAGTTCCTCGGACGATCACTTCGAGAAACCGGAAGTAGGTCCGCGACGAAAGGAAGACGATGTACCGAGAAGAGCGCCCACCGTGAGAACTGAGATACCTTCGGACAATCTTGAAAGATTATCTCGCAGAGATTCGCAACGATCCTCTCTCGACAGTGATACACAGAGTAGGAAGACGTCATCCAGGAGAGTTCAAGAGACAGAAAGGGTTAACGGGGACGAAGATGAAGAAGCATCTCGCACCGTGAAGAACGTACGAAGTCGCGAGCCCTCGTTGAGGAGAGAAACTTCGATCGAAGAAACGGAGAAATCAAGAAGGAAATCGTCCCTTGATTCTGGTAATCAAAGCGTGAGGAAAACTCCGTCGCGCGAAGCGGTGCCGAGGAAGATTCGGGAGACTGACGATCAGGGCTCTTCACGATCTGGCAGCAAGAACCAAGAGGAGATTCGAGAAGCGAGACGTTCCGTGGATAAAGAGAAACGTAGCAAAGAATTCGTAACCAGAAAAGTAGAGGACGAACCAGCTGAACGTTTAGACAGTGTGGCATCCGTTGCCAAAGGGGAAAAGCGGGAGACGAATCAGCAAAAGCCAACGAACGATGCGAGCGAGAAAACTGACTTGCAAATACCGAAGGAGGAATGGGCCTGCGAGCACTGCACCTTTATAAACAACGTCCGGGACCGCGTTTGCGTGGTTTGTTGCAAAACGAGGAGCAGCGCGCTGCCACCGAGCAACGAGGAGAACGCGGATGACGTACCGAATGGTTCGAGCGAGATCCCGAAAAGTGAATCTGATAAGGCGCCCAGCAACGTGAGCAATCCGAGCCCGGATCTCGAGAAACGGACCAGCCTGTTAAAAATTTCTAACAGCGAAGAGAGCGGTGGTGACAGTGGCTCGACGAAGAACAAAGGTAGAGCGAGACGCAAAATAAGCTTTTCGTTTGGTACCAAGTCGAATCAGTGAATGAATTGTCGTACCTGTTGCCTGTGTTGAACGTTTATCCCCCTCCCGCTGTTTCCGTTTCTCTCTTTTTTACGCGAAATTAAATAACAGACGATTAAGAATTGTCCCTTCTGTCGATGTATACCCTTGGATGAATAATAAAGTGACATGGAAAATTGTTTCGTACACGATCAGTGGAAACCAAATGCATAGTCGTATTTGAAACAAAGCCACTCTGTTTTATCATTCATTAACTCTCATTATTTTTTCCTTTGATCATGTCCGACGCAGTTATTATTCATTCAACAGGAGCTGCTTTCAAGCACGGGCGTGCATTTGGCCGATATTCTTTTCATCCGAATTTCTTTTTGTCATAAATCTTGAAATGTTTAATCCTTTCATGGGAACACAACCGATAATTGTTAGTCTTTTACGCTCGAAAAACAATTTGTCTGTTTCCATTATAAAATAACTAATATAAATGGAATAACGTAACTTACATCACAGAGCTCTACATTTCCATAACTATGAAGGGATTAAATGAAGCTTTTGCTAGCCTGCATCAGCATGATGTTTCTCACCAACCAACATCCATGGTTTTGAATATTCATAACAATTAGTATAACTACATAACTGAATACTATTTGCAGATACAGATGCAAACTCCTCTTCAGCAAAAAGTATATCTGCATCAATGACAAACACGGTTAAACCAAAGACGGCCGAGATCTTCGAGACTCGTAAAGATGCGTCTTCCAAAATGGATGAAGAGAACGAACCAAAGGAACGACCGACGCTAGGAAAAATTCTGAGAAGCCATTCGGTTTCGACTGGAACCTCTCCGCCTCCGCAGAACATTTCCACTCAAGTAAGGAAGAACTTCTTTTTTAGAGGAAAAGAGGCTATTAGTTCAAGTAAAGAGGAATCGGAATGTTTCATCAGATATGATATACATATATCATTCCAGACGTACGACTATCTACCAGCGAGAGGTAGCGCGGGATTCGTGAGAGCTTCATCCGCCTCGAAAGGATTATTGTATTATGAGGATAGCGACGTGGAGGTAAAACGAAAGATTAATACAGATACGTGATGTATCTCCTAAAACGAAAACTTTCGAATATTTATATTAATTTAAAAAAAGAGTTAAACAGTAATTCAGATATTTCAGTTTCTCATTTTATCTAACTTTGTGCATTTGCTTGTTAAATAATTTTTATCTTGGGATATATGTCCCATGTATTTATCCAATAAATATCGATGCGACGTTTTATACACGAATGTATTTAAAAAATGATTAAATAATGGGAAAGGGTGCCGAGCCTGTGTTGCAGGAACAAGTTAGACTCGTGAGCAGCCCGGACTTGTATCCGCGAACGATCCAGGAACAATATCTCCAGCAGCTGATCGGCGCGGGCGGACCGAGCAGAGATCGTACGCGACGAAACTCGATCGACTCCACTCACCTTTATTATCGTTCCAGGGTAAACTTGACAGCTATCCCTCGAGCAAACATTGGTTTCTAATCCGATTTAATTCCCAGTACACGACTTAACACGATTCCGTGATTGTGCTAGTTCCGTAGCCTCGGTGTGAACGTTGACAGGATTACCTTTTACAGCGACATTCTTTACCATGTGTATACATATACATATACCATTCCATGGATTTAAAACAATTTTATTAATTAAAAAACGATATGTGCTTCCGCCCAAATTTGAGTGTGTGTGTGTGTGCTGTAGAATGTTATACTTTTTAATGTATAGTAATATAGTTAAGTTTGTTATCATTCTTGTTGTCTGCGAAAGGTGCATCTTAAGGCGATGAAACCTTTTATTTTCTAACACATGCGTCCATTCTCAACAATTATTTTTAATAATATTTAAACTGAATCGCTTTACGTTTCAGGAATCGAGTCAGCCCAGGTTTTTAGAATCTGGCCCGAGCACCCAAGGCGTTTCGACTTTAACTAGACAAGGTTTAGAGATCGTGGAACTGCTGAGGGAAGCTGAGAATCACGGTTACTCCACCGACGACGTTCAAGTTGCTTTGTCGCAAGGCGCCAGCAATCCCATCGACTGGCTGAAGACGCAGTGGCCACATTTGGTGGAAACCGTGCAGGTTCTCGCTACCAGTCAAGGAAAAGAGTTGAAGGAGAACAACATCGGGATGCTTACCGCCAGCGAAGCGAAGGAAGCCCTGAGAATAACGAAAGGGGAGGTTTGGAACGCTGTCGCAACGGCGATTCAACGTAGACAGCTAAAGGTAACGATCGAATTGTCGCTGTGCGTCGCTTACGCGACGGGATTAAAAACAATGAGCTCGGCAGTGCGAGGAGATCATGAAGAAGGGCAACTTCGCGATGGCGGAAGTGGTGAAAGCTTTGGAAAATAACGCTGGTGTCGAGGACGCGGCTTTGTTCGAGCTGCAGAAGAATCAGCTGAAGCCGTTTCTGATGAGGATCTGGGGTCCTCCGGTTGGGGTGGAAAACAACGAGGCTGCACCGCGGGAAGGTCAGCATATATTGTTTAAGTCTTTGACTATATGTATGTATGTATCTATATTTGGACCGTTGGTTAAATTTATAAAACGCTATAAATGGTTTAATGCCTTTTCAGAAATGCTATGAATAATCCTAGGCAGAATGTATAATATAGTCTTTGTCCATGTGTCTTACTCGATATGGAAACCAATCAACTTTTCCATATTAATAACAATTAATTCCATATCTTCTATTGTCCTGTCAATTGACTATCATTCGTTGTCAATCCTCTTATTTATATGACCAGGCGTATATTAAAGATCGTTTAAAATATATCTTAGCGAATCCTTGTGTGAAAGCTATTCTTAAATCTCGTAAAAAATTACAAGAGTTAATAGAGAGAAAATATTTAATTTTTTTTTATGGAGTACAATTTTTCCGGCTGGCACTAGAATTTAATGTTGCACACGGTGGTGTGCCCATTTTTCATTTGAGAAGTTGAATTGTTTCAGGTGCGGCGGGTGCGGTCGGTGGTGATACGGGTGTTCCCGAACAGGTTACGAACGTGTCGGACTCAGAAGCCAGGAAGCAGGTAATGTCACCAATCGTTGAAAATTTCGTCGCGTTGCAGGCCGACTTTCAAAAGCAACTGGCAGCCCTCAAACAACTGACTGATAACTGGCAACACGACAAAGAACCTGACCCCCTGAACACGCCCGGTAATAATAAGCCTGATAATCAGTATCAAGTAACCAATGACGATCGAGCCGTTCTAATCGATAAAAATCTGGTCCCAAGAGCCGTACAAGAACTCGATGTAGCCAACACCGAGGAACCAATGCGAATCATCCAATTGATAACTGAGAACACTGATGTATCTATCGAAACCGAAAAGCATGATCAGAATAATAATTCCACGATAAACATACCTGAGAAACAAATTCTAATTCAAACGGAAAATACATTGCAATCAAACATAACTGAGAAACCAGTAGAAATTTTAGTTATTGAAAATGACGATAAAAATTACGTGAACAGAGAACTAAATAATACAGATCGAATTGAAACGACGATTGTAAAAACCGACACGTCTGTTGTGATTACAGATCCAAGTACGAACATAGAAAATTCGAGTGAGAATAAAATTGAAAAACCGGAAAGTTCGTCACGGCAAACTACAAACGATAAAGCAATGGAGAAAGAAAATAAGCTACAAAGGAATAACGTCCATTCTATAAGTACTGACAAACTAACTTCGCTCACTGTGGGATCTAAAACGACTGATGCGACTGACCTCAACAAAAATGTGAAACATACAGTGAAGACGAAAGACGAGAAATCTGGCATTGAAAAAAGCAGTAAGACGTCCCGGAAGACGAAGGATCCGGAGCAAACCGGCGTGGAAATAGAAGAAACTTCGTCATTATGTTCGGAAAACGAAACACCTTCCCAAAAGACTGATCCTCGTCAAAGAGCCATAGAAAAAGATTCTCCTTCGGCACTCCCTTTGCGGCCGAACGTATCGGACCGCGGTTCTGAAACCAGCGAATCTGTAAAATCGACTAAAAGTCTGGCGACTGAAGCCAGCGAAACCGAACGACCCGATTTAATAAATCAGAAGACGAAACGGGGCAAAGGGTCCCAACAGGGGACAACTATTGCAGAATTAATTAAGACGCCCGAATATTCTTCTAAAGCACGGGATACAAAGATTTCAGAGAACACTGATTCGGGTAAAGAAGGAACGACGGGCGAATTGAATAAATCGCGACCTGTGGAAGAAGATACGAAGATGGAATCGAGCAAACTCGTTGAAGAACCGGAGCCGTCGTCAATAATTGCGCCAAGTGCGAGGGTTTCAGGTACTGCCGACACGACGAGTAAAGAGACGGCGGCGAATAAATTGAATGAGTCGGGAGCCGTGGAAGAAAACGCAAAAGTAGCATCGGGCAAAGTTGAGGAGGAAGCACAATCGCCGATAATTATACCTGGAAATGATCCAGCGAGTCAAAGTTCCGAAAGTGTTTCACTGAAAGAGAAAGGTAACGAGGCGCAAGTGGCCACGATGGAAGCGCTGATATCCGCCGTGAAATCCTTGCCGGAGCAATTATTAGGCCCTTTCATATCAGCGATGCAGATGCTGTCGTCGAAGAAATCGGCCGGCGAGGTCGATCGACTTAACGTTCTTGATGCCGTGGTCAAAGACCAAAACTCTCAAGCCTGCAATGAAAACACGTCTAAGGACAGCACGACGACCAGAACGACCAAGGCCGACGTCAAAGAGCTGCGGGAATTGGAAATGGTACGTAAAAACGAGGAAAACGATAGCGTCGTGCAAACTAACGTAGAACAAAGTACGATAGAGAGAAAATTTAACGAGAGTCAACTCCCGGAAGACGCGAAAGTAACGTCGTTACAAAGTGGTGAACAAGTAAGTTCTGACAAATTGCTTAAATCCGAACAGAAACAGCACACATCCGATGAAACAGTCGCTAATTCAGATGAGTTATCATTACGAGTCGACACTAACAAAAATGACAAGTCACCCAATTGCAACCAGAAACAAGCATCTGATAATGACTCAACCATTGACTCGGAAGAATTGTCATTAGAAATCGATTCACCTCATGATAATCACATAGGAAACAGTTCATCGATCCACGAATCGTTATCATCAACGGGAGCAGGCAACTCTTCCGTGAACAGCATCAAAGATTCTTCGTCTAACAATGCATCTTTGAACGACGAATCACTCGTGACCGATAGTCCGATGATAAACAACGAGACCATTGGCGCACAATCATTATTATCGAGCGAGACGTCGTCATCCGCGGTCGTACGTGACCCGGGAACGTTTGTCCGTGAATCATCCGACATGCAAATGCGCTCGGCCAGTGCCGGGACTCCGGCTACCGACGATAACCGTGTGAAATTAATTGATGCCAGTTTGGTGACTGATAATAATGGATGCTCTGTTGAGAGTGCGGTCGTTTCAGCGAACAAATCGCTTGATAATAAGCCGACTAATTCGACGTTCGACCTAACAATGGCTTCCGAGTTTGATAATATCCAACAGACCATCAGCCCAACCCTAAACCCTGCTCCCTCTACTTTGGAGAACCCTCAACGCGGATCACAAGAAATTTCAGAACATCCTATTGAGAAAAATGTCGAAAATATTGTTCACCATGTTCCCGCAGCAACTAACAATTTGGCTTTGAATACTGAAATTGTTCAAATCGAAATTTCTAAAGATATTCAAGAGGTTTCGAGAACCCTTGAAATAGCTCAAGAAGCTTCTGTAGATCCGAAAGTTCATGTTACTTCGGCAAAGTCGAAAATTGATGAAATTTCTGTAGAACCAGAAACTTCTGCATCCATAATCTTAATAGATTCTGCAGGCATTACCCTTGATATTCCTCAAACAACGGTCCCTGAGATTTTGCAAAACCCAACGCCTGTTCCGTGTGAAATGCCCAAAGAGCCTGATACAAAACTTCAGACAACCTCTCAAGAATTCAAGGCGTTAGAGATAGCTAACAAATGCGGAGCAGTTATTTCTAGAAGTACCAAAAACGCGTTGAGCGTGTTCGAGAAAGTGGAACAGCCTATCTCCGTCGCATGCTACATTCCCCAGAGTAACGACAAAATCGATCCAATAACTTGCTCAACTAGTAAGCCTGTCGAAGTCTCAGAAACTTCTAAACAAATTAATATTCAATCGGAATCGGAGAAACACGGCAAATGTATCTCCCTCGACGAAGTTAAAAATGATCGTTCAATAATCGTTGCGCAAGATTGCTTAAATAAATCGTTAGAAACGATCGATTCTAAAACCGGCGAGTCAGAAATTATGCAGCAGGATCCAAGAACTCCTGTAATACGTTCCTTTTCGATATCAAACAACGTAGAGGCAAATAAAGCTTGTGGAGTACTCGCGAATACCGAATCGACAATTTTAACTATTTCAAGTGACTCTCGTACTTTCGGTTCCTCGTCGAGTTTGCATGCTTTGGACACTGAATCCGCCGTTAACAAGCTAAATTCTATGGATACTAACAGAATTCCGAAAAGTCCCGTTCCTCCTAATAACGTTGCCGATATGTCGTATAATGCATCGAAGTCGAACGAAGAAAGCGGTGCCGCGTTCAATCTGACCGATACGAATCTCGAAACTTATTCCCCCGGTAACGTGCCTGGAAACCTTAACAAATCTTCCGGCACGATTTCCTGCGACGACGAGAGTATCGCCGCGGATCCGAACAATAACGCGTCCCATTTAGACCCTCTTGATCCTGGTCAAATCGAAACTCGGGATGAGAAAGAAAATTCTCAATTGCTCGTTGATCCGAACGTATCCAAAATCGAGGGCTGGGTCGAACCGACTGATAACAAGGACTCAACGTATTCCGTCGAGGAGAGTGTCGCCGATGCACCTGACATCATAGAGATTAAAATCACGGAGTGTCCCATGATACCGGTGAACGATTGTGCGCCGATAAAACCATTGGAGAGTCCTTTGGAACGCGAAGAAAACGAAATCGCGACAATATCAGGAAACGTTGTGAGCGTAGGAAACAAGGATGTGGACAAAGTAGCTGCGAGCAGCGTTTTAATCAAGGAGAGATCCAAATCTCCTGGCAAAAAGATTGGCAGAAAGAGGTCTCCTGTGAAAGTTGTGAAAAAGCCCACTGGCATACCGAGAAGGAATTTCGGAAAAGTTAACCCGGGAGGCACGATGCTCGCGAAAGCGAAAGAAACCGCGGCTGAAATAACTCGAGGCTCGGTCCGGTCGAACCGAACTCCCAGGGAGGCTACGAAACTTGTGAAGAACGTTGGGAGTGGAGCGAAATCATTGTTAACCAGCGCCGGTCAAAAGCAGATATCGTTGAATAGCAAATCGGCGGGACCGAAAATGGTCCCGGAAAGGAGGTCGACGATCTTGAAGACGTTGTCCAAGGGATGTGAACAAATTAAGAAGTCGATCATGCCGGAGAAAGCTAATAATAAGGAATTGGTTGAGGGGAGAAGCTTGAAAAGCGACCTGTCAAAACAGAAGTCTTCTTTTTTATCGAGGATCCCTGTGTTCGCGGCCAGACGCAAATGTTTCCAACAGGTACCCAAAGCTCCGCGGCAATCATCCGAAGTAGCGTCCAGCGACAGGTTAACTGGCACCCCTGCGAAACTATCGACCGCTCGGCAGGCAATGAGAAAAACTAGTTCACCCGGAAATGGTCCGAAGATTGAAACGAAGCAAAAAAAGGACACTCATAGAATTGATGGAAATTTAAATGGCAAAAAAGGGGTGGTCGTAGAGGACGAGACTCTCCGAGTGGCTCCCATGAACAAAGGGAGCGAGGAGAAAAGATATACGGTGTCATTCGGGAAAAATCGGGCAGAAGTGGATGCGAATGAATCGAAGAAAGATTCGGATTTAAACGACACGACTTCTAGCGAGGAATACGAGCTGGAAGAAGTTTCGTATAACGATACTTCCACTTCAGACATTGAGAGCGCGTCGGAATCGGAGATATCGAGCACGGACAGACAGCTCTCGGATCAGACTTTAGACAGCTTGGAGGAATTGACCGATGCCGAGATCATGCTGCAAGAAACGATTAACGCGATCAAGGCTAAGATATCGGATTCGGAGCTGGAGGATTCCGAGGAGGAATACGTTACAGAAGAAGAAGAAGAATGCAATTCTAGCGAACCTAGCGGACAAACAAAAGATTCTTCTGCCGCGGAGACGGACGAGGAAGAACAATTGGAAGAAAATGACGAAGTTGATGACGAGAACTTAAATAATGGTTCATCCGAGGAAGATGAAACTCTGAAAGCTGATAACGCTGATCTAAGGAACCAGCAACGGCAAACAATAAGTAGATCAAACAATGGCATCGAGGCAGCTCGCAAAGAAAGCAATGTCGCTTCTAAACCTCGTGGCGTCAAAAAAGCTAAGGAACGATTACAGCGAGTAACGGTAAAGGGAAACACGGATAAGGCTAAAGAAAGGGCTAGCAAATTGAAGGAGAAGCTCGGAGCGAAGTATAATCTGTCGAAAAACGAGCAGAACAAAGCGGATCCTAAGACCGAGGAGGCGACTGTGAAACACGCGAATGACAAGCGACCAAAATCGAGTCGCAGATCAAGCACAGGCTGTGACAGGGGGGTGGATCAGGGAGCTGCGTCAAAGAAACGATTCTCGTTGGTGGCCAGTTGTATACGTCGGTTCGAGGGCGAAGAAAAGACGGACCGAGAATACGTGGAAAGTAGAAGCGGCAACGTGAAGACAGGGGGATCTCCCAAAATGGAGAGGGAGGTCAGTAGACGCCAGTCGTCAGAATCACTTGTCGACTTTTGTCAGTCCTCGCCGCTGACAGGCCAATGTCTACAAACAGCTCCGCAATATCGTATCGAACTTAAACGAAACACGGGCAAAAAATGTTTAGAAAAAAGGGAGATGAAATCTGAGATGAACCCCCAGTCAGGTTCTCCTTTCTTAACCCTGTTTTGACTTCTACCATTTTTTCAAGCACACTTTTTCTCAAGTAGCGTAGAGATGGCTCTCGCCCCCTCCCCCTCCCTCCCTTTCTCTTGTCTTTGCTAGGTAAGTACTTACTTACTCCCTTGGTTCATTCGTCGTGACTAATACAGTTGTTGTATGGTATCTCGCTTTGTTCCGCGTTGTTTCGTTGGTGTTCAAATTAAAAAGTAACAGAGGCGACGATGTACAAGCGGGAGATCGTGCTCGAGGTTTGTACATGTGCACTCGGCGACGGAAGTACGCGTCGGGTAGTTTAATTTAATATCACGGAACACGACTTTCCCATCATCCAATTTTGTTGGATGCCTTCAGGGCTCCAGATTAATTTAAATGCACGCAAATAACACGTTCTTCGGTGAGAATATCATTCCGAGAAACGGAGAACAACCCTCGAAATACACGGAATAGAATAAGCTTTGAAATTCATATTGCTTGTCTCAAGATCGTCTATTAATGTCTTTCAGCTTTTATGTAACAAGCAAGTATGGTATTAATATTTCATTTACGATTCGGTCGGTGTTTTCGGGAAAATTTCCAGAGCTCGTTTCTAGACGTTGGTGTAGTCTTCATCTGTCATACTTTTGCATGTCGATGTTATTGTCGTCTATCGTACTGTGCAGCTATGCTATGGATTCTTAATTTATTTTAACGATAAGCAGTTATTGCTTTATCGTCAAGTATTTACATACAATCGAAAATCTACTTTTAATATCGAGGAACCGGAGAAATGAAAGGACCGTGTATTGCGATTACAGAGAATAGCTCGCCGACTCTTAGCGGAAGGTAAAGCGTCCACTTACGATGAAGCGGAAGTGGCTGCCAGTCTGTTGGCCCTAAAATTCGGGGACGTCGAAGCCCTCCATGCAGCCAAGGAGTGTTCAAGCGTGGAATCGGCTTTGGCCTTCCTTCAACAGGAATGCGAGTTATGCACTGGTCGTTTCGCGATGAGCCAAGTATACGAAGATGAATAAATTATTATCAACGCTCCATTAGAATTTGTATTGCACGTTCATTCTCGAATTCTAGATGGTGTCCATGTTGAAGTGCGTGCACCGTTGCTGCACTGATTGTGCCAAAAATTATTTCACGATTCAGATCAGCGACAGGAATATCACGGACGCGGTTTGTCCCTTTTGCAAGGAACCGAATCTGAAGGACGCCAGCGAAGACGAAGTACTGGAATACTTTAGTAATTTGGATATACAGTTAAAAGCTCTTCTGGATCCTCCGATCCATGAACTCTTCCAGAGGAAGCTGAGAGACAGGACATTAATGCAGGATCCGAATTTTAAGTGGTGCATTCAGGTACATCGTAGGTCAACAGAATTTCCTTTACTCGACGATCGGAAGTGCGTCATGCATAAACGTTGATTTCAGTGTTCCAGCGGATTTTACGCGGATCCGCATCACAAACGATTAATTTGTCCCGACTGCCGATCCGTCACGTGCGCCCTATGCCGGAGGCCGGTACGTGCAGACGTTTGTAATTGCTCGAAAATTAAACGGACGTTACGTAATCGCGAACAGGCATCCTCTCTGACGGTAGTTTCACTTTCAGTGGGAGAAACAGCACGAAGGAATTACGTGCGAGCAATTTGCTGCTTGGAAAGACGAGAATGACCCGGATAATCAAGCCGCGGGCTTAGCCAAGCACCTCGCGGATAACGGAATAGATTGTCCTAAATGCAAATTTCGTTACTCATTGTCACGGGGAGGTAAAGTGCTCAAACACCGAATCATTAATTACCCAAATAAACACGTATCTTCAAGGAACCGTAAACATTGCAATCGAAGTTTATCCTCGGTTAAGATCCTATTATTACTGATCTCTCAAGCGAAAGATATCTTTGAAGAGAATTGATATCAAGCGACTAGCATCCCATACGTGTAATTTCTCTGCAGGTTGCATGCATTTCACGTGTAGCCAGTGCAAGTACGAATTTTGCTGCGGTTGCGGCAAGGCGTTCATGATGGGAGCGAAATGCTCGGTCAGTCCTTATTGCGCGAAACTGGGCCTTCATGCTCATCATCCACGGAACTGTCTGTTCTATCTTCGCGATAAGGAGCCGACGCAATTGCAACAGCTGTTGAAAGATAATGGAATCGAGTACGATACGAAGGGTCCGGCCGGAGAACGCAAGTGCAAAGTGCAGTTGCAGAAAGAAACACCAACCGGTGTCGTGGACACCGTGTGCAACTCGGACGTCGTCGAGGGACACGCTGGTTTATGCAGGTAATTCTCCGAACCTCCCTCCCCCCTGTTTTCAATGTTGCAAATTTGCATGCTCTTGCTCACCATTATTACGACCACCACTTTCGTAATTTAAGAAGAACCTGAAGATCGCTGTACCGTTACCGTAAAACCAGAAAATTTCAACAAAGTTGAAAATAATAACTTGTGAAAAGCAACAGTTATCGTAATTAATGGTATTAAAAGAACGGTGGTAAAAGAGTTAATTTTAAGGAGAACAAAGATACAGCCTGTGTTGCGTCCCGTTAACAACGTGTTCTTCGAATATACAGGATCCACTATATCGAGTACCTAGTTCTAAAGATCCGGAAGACACAACTGGAACCGCTTCCGTTGCTAAACATAGACGATCTCGAGACATGCGTGAAACGAGCGGGGGTCAAGTTACCCCCGAATTGGTACGGTCGCGATCCGGGACATTACAGAAGGGACTTGACCGAGGTAAACGAAATAGACATCGTGCATGGCACGACTAAAATTCTGGGTACTTTTCCCCGCAGGCAGCACTACGTTGAATACTTGGCGGGCCTGGTACTGAAGGGCAGGCTGGATCCGGCGACGATTTTTGACTTGAACGACGCCAAGCAAGAGCTGCGCCGCCGGGGAAAAGTTCCCCCTGCGAAGGACCAGGAAATGTCCGAACAGGATTATCTTGAGGCGTGCATTCAGGTGACTAACAATTCCTCTCCTCGGCGCGATTCCGCTGCTCCGACACACTGACCAAATTAACAAAAAGTGCACGAAAGCATACCTTCAAGCATGACTTTCGCAGCCAAAAATGCGTCACGCTCACATTATCGAAAAATAAAGAGACTGGGAACTTGCACTTTTTCCCTTGTTCACCAATTTGTTTTATCGATTTGATAGTGTACAGTTCAATACCCTTAAAGAAATATTATCTGTGGCTCGATTGCAATATTCCGTTGTTTTACAGGTGGTGCGAAAGGAGATTCCACTGGAATAATTGACTCACGCTTTTCACTCAACGTGTATAGTATTTATTTTATTACGCGGACAGCGGTGAAGAGAACGACTTATAATCAAAATTTATCAAAGATTGACAATTGTATAGTATGTATTAAATGTACAAAAATAGTCACTTAGGATAAAGTTGAAAAACTGAGTGTCAGTTCTCTCTCTCTTCTTAATAAAGCCAGCTTGTGACAACTGCTCTTTTATATGAAACATAATTAACGTTTAAAGGAACTTTTATAAAATACTTCGATAATAAATTAAATTTTTAAAAAATCTCTGCTAGAAAACTATGTAGACTATTCTTCTTTGGAGGTGTAGCACCTTGATTCACTATGTCTTTTAATCTATTTATATTTAACTTTTTTAACTTCTGAGGAGTTTTAATAAAGTTTGTGTTGCCCATTTTTCTCGTCATTGTGTCTTTCGAACCCTCGGTAACATCCTCTGTAGTTAAATTTGAAATTCCAGAAATATTTAAACCAGCCGTTTTGTCTTTGTTCTTCCTCTTCTTCTTTTTTTGTATCTTTTGAACTGAGCTGTTCTTTTGCATCCTCTCCCTTTGTGGCTTATTGAAGGGTATTTTTGTACTATTTGAACAAACTGAACATTTCAGTACCAGTTTGTTCATCCTATTTTTTAAACATTTCTCTGCCAAACTTCTTTGAACTTTGGGAACATTTTTATCACGGTTCTCCATAGAGTTAACAATCTTTTTAACTGATTTAGAAACTGGTTTACCTTTTAATAGTCGAACAGTATGATCTATTGTGTTCCACAGTGATCCACAATAAGGACACATTGTCGAAGGACCAAAATTTTTGGATGGCAACTGTATTCCTTTGCTAAATCTTCTACATTTGGTTCTAGAATAAATTATCAGTGTTATGTGATCTATTTATTTATTTGAAAAACATTTAATATTACGAGAGAACGAACGCAACTTACATGTAATGTGTCTGTAAATTTATCCTTTGTGGACAATCCAGCTTCGTAACTAGTTGATTCACGTTCCACAAATGCGTTATTTTATCCATATCTCTTGTTTACATACGTACAAGTTGAGATTACTTCATAAGCTGAGTCAATCTAAAATATGGGTTAATATAAAACATTTGTATTCGTCCGGTTCGCTCGTTGATAGTATAATTATTTTCAATGAATCAGATGCTTCCGCTTCTAATAATGTACATACATGTATGTAATAACACTGTTGGATCGGCGTGTGAAGTGTAAATGATGAGAAGTGTGCAGTATTCCAACGAAAATGGTCGAATTGTATCAACGTAATGCCTGATAAAAAGTCTACTATGTTCCGTAAATAGATTATATGTGTAACCCGGAAGAGTCTCGATTTTTACGTCTGCTGACACCGACCTCCGTAGTTATCAGAAAAACATAGACGGAAATGGAAGAGAATAACCTCTATTGAGATCTTTATACATAGGTAAGTATATTTCATCAAACTACAGAAAAAGATTTGTGACATACGATATGATATAACAATCGATTCGCATTAATGCGTGTAGTACAGAAATATTTGCCATTTTCTTGCAAGAATACGTGCACATTTATAATTTCATATAAAAATATTTGCGTTCTAAGCGTAAGCGCCATCTACATTGTTTCTAATGAAAGTCAATTTGCTCAGAACATATCTGTAAAAATGTGAACTAATAAAGTATTCGAAGCTCATTTGGAAACATTTCTACTCGTCAAGACGAATCGATCGCAGCATCGTCTGACATAAATCATTTCGCGTGGCTTTGAAACCTAACAGAATTGTTCGCTATTATTGAATGACAGAGTAGCCAACGTGCGAAAATTATTAAGTGGTTCGAGGACAATCCGAGGATCCCGAAACCTATTCGGTAGTAACCAGCGATGTATTAATAAAGTGGACGTTTACTTCGACGAACGGTTTCCGTTCTATGAAACGACAATACCGGGGAGGGTGTTAGAAAAATTTGTATTTTGTCATCCTTGTCATCGGTGCACCGGGAGTACTGTCAAACAATAGTTGAAGCAAATTGTTGCCGTTAAGGAATAAATTGATAGATCGTCATGGGTGATGGGAAGAAGGGCGAGCGACAGCCGTTGTTAAAGAATGACAATGTCACGTATAGTTCGCACGCTAGCGATTTCTATACTGCAGGTAAATAATGTTCGACGAAGAATTAAATTTGTTTAATCGGATTGCTCGTTGTTATGGATTATATTACCTTCTAGATGAAACGCAATCAACTGTCAGTACTGTGTCTGCGATAGGACCAGATGAAGTACCACCGCCTTATGAGGGTAGCCAAAATGGCATGCCTATGGTTACATGCAGAGTTTGTCAAGCTATGATAGATATCTCTGGTAAAAGAGATCAGCACGTTGTCAAGTGTTGCCAGTGCAATGAAGCTACAGTATGCTCTAAAATTTACTCAATGCGACAATGAATTTTATATTAAATACTAAGAATTAAGTACTTTTTCCAGCCAATACGAAATGCTCCACCTGGGAAGAAGTATGTCCGGTGCCCATGCAATTGTTTGTTAATATGTAAGAGTTCTTCACAACGTATTGCTTGCCCAAGGCCAAACTGTAAACGTATTATTAATCTCGCTCCAAGCCCGATTACACCACCAGTTCTCTCTATGCCTGGAATGTGTAGAGTCTGCTGTGCTCACTGTCATGACACATTTTTGGTAAGAACTTAAATACTCAGCACTACATTATTCACTTGTACGTTTTATTATCCGGCTAATGTATGTAACATGGTACACTTTAGTTCAATACCTTAAATAATGCTTTGGCTCGATGTCCACATTGTCGAAAAATATCTTCTGTCGGCCCAGACTTTGCTAGAGGCCGGGGTATTGTATTTATAATTGTTGGAATAATATTCTTAATAATAGCAATAGCTGTGACTGTAAGTATTGCATTGATATACTATTAGAATTATAATAATAAAAATTTGAAGTAATCTTAGAAAACTTGTATACCAGGTTGGGACTCATGCATATGCAAAGAGCAAGGGTGGAATTTATTTAGCTTATGTTGGTGAGTGAGATAAATATTAAATGGAGAGGTCAGGGCAACAAACGGTCAATTTGTGACTGTTTATTGGCCTGAACGAGATTAAATTCTCCTAAAAATTTACTGTAATTACTATAGATACGTTTGGAGCAAGAAACGGTCAACTGAACTGTTGTCATGTTGATATATATTTAAAGTGTTGATTTATTGACTACAAACATTAGAAAATCATGAACGATATATTTTATTTAACATAATTTCGTGACTAGAAAACATTTGTTTGCTTTGCGAAACGTCGTATTTATCATTATCATCTTCACAGCCACGATTCAATTTATGATACAGATCTGTATTCCTACCTGTACGTGGCACGAATGTCGAATAACATACATACATTTCGCGAAAATCCAAGTGGGCAGTCACATAAAAATCGAGCTGACCGTTTCTTACTCTGAACTCTTCGAACATGAACTATTGAATGCGTACAACTTTTCTCATTTCGTTTCCAGGTGCATTCATCCTGGCATTTGTATGCCTGGGACGCAGCATTTATTATTGTACAATGAAAATTAGTATGATAGAAGGTCCAATTTGATCAATTGACGAATGTGCCAATCAATGGATATTATTTTAAAACTGATTCCTTTAACATCTATACCGTATAATAATATATTTAGATCAAATGTCTATAGTAACGATATGACATATAAGTCCTTTTTAGGGCCACAAATGGTAGATGTATACACTCTTACACATATATACATATGTAAGTTTGCGCTGTAACGTAAAACAATCTTGCATATATATATGTATATATGTAGATGTATGTACATGTATGGACAAAGAGAATGTATAACTAACATAACGACTTCACGTAAGGTAATATATCGAAAAATACTAGAAATAAATGGGGTGTTCATTCACAAAAAGGAAAAGAAAATCAAGGGATTGTTCCTCTGCACTTTTATATATACAAGCACAGGACCAATGAAACCCCATTGTTTTCATAATTGAATTATATTATATATGCTTTCTACATCACGGTAAACGTATAAAATGCACATAGGTATCTAAGCAAGTAAAATATTCCATACTGATATTATTCCAACTGTAAACAGCTATAAATATATACAGCCAGGTATAATTGTTTTCAATTGAGAATTTGCATCGATTTTAAAGAGTACACGAATATCATTTAACAGAAACTTCTGGACCTATGTATATCATTTAACATGCGAGTAAAATTATATAAAATATGTATGTTCAATTATTTATTTTACT